CACACGCACACGCACACGCACACACACACACACACACAGTCACACAGTCACACAGTCACACAGTCACACAGTCACTCTCTCTCTCTCTCACACACACACACACACACACACGCACACACACACACACACACACACACACGCGCGCGCCCCCAGCGCCAAAGTAGGACCCCCGCGCCGTGGCTCTCTGCCCCGCGCACCCACCGCCACAGCGGGGGGCCCCGCCCACTGCCCCCTCCGCCACGAACGCCTTATTCCGCGTCGCGCCCCCCTCCCCCCACCCACCCCCCGCGTCCCCAGCGCCAGAGTGGAACCCCCGCGCCGTGGCTGCCTGCCCGAGCCCCCCCCCCCTCCCCCCGCGCCCCGCCCCAGCGGGAGCTGCACCTCCGCCACGGCGCTTTATTCGCGTCGCGACGCAGACCACCTCCCCACACCTCCCCCCCCCCCCCTCCCCGCGCCCCAGCGCCCCAGCGGGGGCTACGCCCCGTGCTCCCTCCGCCCCGACAGTTTCAATCCGCGTCGCCGCGCGCGCGCCCTCCCCCCCCCCCCCCTCCCGCCCAGCGCCCCAGTTGGAGCCCCCGCCCCGTGGCCCTCTGCCCCGAGCCCCGCCCAACGCCCCTCCGCCCCGGCCATTTTATTTCCGCGTCGCGACGCACACCGCCTCCCCCCCCTCCCTCCGCGCCCCCAGCGCCCCAGTGGGACCCCCGCCCCGTGCCCACTCCGCTCCGAGCACGTTATTCAACGTCGCGGCGCACGCCCCCCACCACCCCCCTCCCCACTTGGGATTTGGGCACCGTTGCTGGGCACCGAGGGGCGACGTCTTGCCCCCTCGCCCCCCCTCCTCCTCCACCCGAAGCAGGCCCGATGCAGACCTGGGAGGTTTTGATGTTTTTTCTTGAATCGAGCAATCAAAAAGCCGCCCACACTGCACACGGACGGCCGCAGCCCGCGCCTCTGCACGCGGGCGGGCTGCACTCTTGATGCGATTGCTTACGGCGGGCCGTCTCTGGCAGCGCGCGCAGTTTCCAAATTCTTGAAGCAGGTTTTCGCCTGCCCGCCGCATCCGCCACACCCAAGCCCACAAGTACGCGCGGCAACGCTCCCAATCGGACGCAAGAACGCCGTCTGGGATGCTGCTGCGCATCTCAGGCCACAAGCCATCGCAGCACTGCGCGCCTTTTTTAACAATATATATATATATATATATATATATATAACAAAAAAAATGAGCGTCTCGGCGCGCCCGTTCGGGCGCACGACGTCGACGACGGCCCACTGCTCGGCATCGTGGGAAACTATGCCGTGCGACAGTTTCAGATGCTTGCAATGAGCATTGAAGCGCTTCGCGCTGAAGCGGGACGGGCCCTTACTCTTGTCGCTGTACGCAGCACGGCTCTTCGGGGCAACGGATTGGCACGCGCCTGCCCCGTCGGTTAAAAACGTAAAATTTCCAGGCACGAGAACCCAAGAGAGGATCTCGTCACACCCGGGCCCGCTGAGCGATACGCCGCTCCCTCCAGCAGCACAGGTGCGCTGAGGCAGGTCGACAAAACATCGCCGGCGGTCGCTGCCCCCAAGGCATCACGCACATAAACCGATGATGCAATATCCGATACCGCCCATGAGGATGCTCACCGCACGTCTGATCCGAGCAGTCCGACGGGCAAGGCACGCGGCGCGCACGCATTGACGCCTCGTCGGCTAGAACGAGGCACCCGCGGGGCCATTTGAACTCATCTTGCTCGGCCTGAGCTGCGCGAGCGCATATGGCCCGCACCACGCTGGCAATGCGCTGAGATGCGTTCTTCGATATCCCCACCTGCACCGCCAGCTCGTCCGACGACTCGTAGCCCGAGGCGCGCTGAGTCGCTGCGTGGGCGATGGCGAGGAGAGTGCGGGCGGTGTTCACAGAGCCCTGGTTGAACAACTCCTTCAAGGGGCCCTTCGGGTCGAGGTTGGACTCGCGCTTCTGGCAATCCCAATTGGAACAGCGCCACACAGGGTAGTCCATATGGGGAATGCTGAAGCCCGCCACCTGAGTATGCTTGTCCGTCTGGCTGCTCCGAGTCTTCAACTCCATCGCGCCGCTCTGGCACGCCGAGCACTCGACTCCCAGGTCTGGCAGCGCACCGATCTCGACCATGATGCGCGCGAGGAGCTCGGGCTGGATGCGCGCCAAGTCGATCAGTGCGATTATCTGGGAAATCTTGAGCTCGGCAACGCGAGGTCGATCAGCTTGCTTTTGCATCGGAGGGGTGTACGACGGGCCAGGCGCCTCCTTATTCGGCTTCGCTTTTCCCTTCCTCATCATCGAGCTCTTGCTGATACGACTTCCCTTTGTGAGCGACACCCTGCGCGTGCCAGAAAGCTTCCTAGACGGGAGAGTTGCACAGACAGGCCGTCTCTTCGACGAGGGAGTTGAAAGAGCGGGCTTCTTCTTCAGAATCGCCTTTGCCACGCGACGAGCCCGCTTGTGCTCGTCCGCCTTGGAAGCTTTGCCACCACGCGGCATGATGGGCAGGTCTGGCGCGCGGGAGAGCGGAAGCGGGACCGCGAGCTGATCGCCGAATTGAGCCAAAGGTGCTACGGACAGAGCAGCAGCGCGGCAACCACGCGCGCGGCATCTGCAGATGCGCGACGCCTCAAGTATGATCACGGCCAGAAAGCGCTGATCTTTTTCTCATGTGGGACCTCGTTCTTGCAACGCCCCGCCCCGTTCACGGGCGCTGCCACTCTCCGACGTGCACAAATTCTGGCTCGCGCGCGCCCCATGCTGGCGCCTGCACGCGTGCGCCTCGCTTGGGGGGGGGGGGGGGGCGAGCGTCGGAAGGGCCTTTCCCGCACCACTGCGCGTGAGGGGGGGAGGAGGGCGAGTGCGCGGCGCTGGCGTCGCCGAGTTAGGCGCCCAGAACCTGCCACCAGTCGCATGCCTCGGCACGCACGCCGCCTGGCATGCAATGCCACGACACGTGGCCCGCGTAGCAGGCGCGGGCGTCACCGTCGAATACTATGAATCCCTCTCGGAAGATCAGGACCGCCACGGCGTGCCCGACCACTCCAGGCGCTGAGCCGTAGGTGGCGATGTAGCGACCAGGCGGCGCGCCGCGGGCCCCGCGGATGAATGCGGGTGAGATCGCGCGCCCGTCGCTCGCAACCATGGCCCTTGCATCATCGATGCTGAAAGGGCCGTCTCGAAGGTATAGTACATTGAGGCCAAGGGCGTCCAGCGCGTCGATCACGCAGCAGTCCTGGCGACGGCATGGAATGCGATGGGGGGGGATCGCAACATGTTATTGAGACGCATGGCAAACACGCGAGCGCGCACGCGCACGTACATTACTGCGAGCACTTATCCCTCCTATCACATGCGCGCCCTGGTCAAGCACCGTCGTGGTCATGCACCGTATGTGTACGTATGCGTACGCGCATGTATAAGTAGATGTGCATTATGCTCATGCGCATGTACATGTTGCATTTGGACTGCTGCGCGCATCGGGCCCCTCCACAAACGTCCTTGAAGCCCGCCCCAATGAGGCCGTTGTCCGCCGCCGACCCCGACGCCTGGCCGCCCGCCGCCGACCCGGACGCCTCGCAGCCCGCCGCCGACCCTGACGCCTCGCCGCCCGCCGCCGACTCTGGCGCCACGACGCCCTCACTCACGAGCATGCGCCCGATCTCGCCCTCCAGGTCGAGGTCGGCGTCGTCGTCGATGGATATCTGCTCGCCGTGCGCCGACGCGGCGAGGGAGGCGAAGATGGCCGCCTGCTCGTCCGCGTCGACAGGCGACAGCGGGCCGCCGCAACCCATCATCAGGCGCCGCGGCTTCTTGGTCGGCGGAGGGGGCGACAAATCCTCGAGCGCCCCGCGGTGCGCCCGGGCGAGGCTGCGGAAAATTGCGACCTGTTCGGCGCGGTCCTCGGCTGACAACTCGCCGTGACACCCGACGATCGGAGGCTGCGCCGCGATCGAGCATGGCGCCCGCGAGGCGCGCGGGGACGAGGGCCCCTCCTCCTCATCTGCGTCCACGTCGCCGCCGAGTCCGAAGACATCCTCCTCATCCGACCCGCCCCTCTCCGCGCCCGCGGCATCGACTGCCCCGATGTGCCCGCTTGCTGCTCCATCGGAACCAGACGCCGCAGCGGCTGCGGGCGGGGCTCTCGCGCTGGCCGCGTCCTGCACGTAGCCCGAGACGCCGCCCACCACTGACTCCACGCGGTCGGGGCGGTCGCCGAACACGGAGGCAACGCGCACCGCGGCCACCGTGGGCACGTCCTGGCCGTCCACCAAGTTCTGCATGTAGCCGATGGACCACTGCATCTTCTCTTCGAAATCAGCAGGCATAGGACGGATCGCGGGGGACGTGTGGTCGCGCTTGTCTTCGTTGAAGAGGTCGGGGCACGCGGGGTCTGGCCACTGCATGTACTCGGCGCCCACCTGCAAATCAGCGGAAGCAACGCGCCAATGCACGCCCGTGTCAGCGACCACAACGACGTTCGCCCTGCCGAGGATCGCATGGAGATCCTCCTCGTCGTCCACCGCCTCGAGCGACGGCGCGACGATTTTCTCGAGGTAACCCAGGCTATACTTGCCCAGCGTCGCGGCTGCCAGCGCCGCCCGCTCTGCCTCCCTGTCGTAGGGGTTGGCTACGGCCTGCCTGGACGACCTCTGTTCAAAGGCACAGCCGCCCCACCGAGCCCACAGCCAGGCATCCTCTTCCTTCGGATTGAGGAACGCCTTCAAGATGTCCGCGGGAACCTTCTGAAGGAGGCCGTCGTCGAAGATGCCAGGCAAGACCTCGGTAGTCGGCTCGGCCTTGAAGAAGTCCATGTGCTTCACCGTCAGGAAGGCGATCTCGGCGTCAGAGCCCGTCCTCTGGACGTTGAAGGCGGAGTGCAGGAAAGCCAGCGTCTTCGAGCAGTTGCTCTTGCCGACCCTGGACTTGCCGCACCAGAGGATTCCATGCATGCGGAGGTTGCCTATCATGTGCTTCAGCACGTTGTTCAGGAACCAGGGGGCGACATCCTTCAAGGTCAAAGTCCAGCGCGCGATGGGCTTCGCGTTTACGGAGACTTCTTCTATACACCACCACCGCGCCCAGGAAAAATATCCGCTGATCAAATCAACGTTTCTTTTGGCGGCGCTGTGGCCCGCACGCCCGTGACAGAATTTCGCAATCCGTGCTGCGCTCTTGTTGGATGCGGCTCTGTGGAATCAAAACCGACATGGCCCCGAACGGCAACCAATCATTACACGCGCTGGCCGCATTGAGGCGATCGTGAGGCCCTAATGGCGTTGGCGCGAAAACTGCCGCGTTCGTTCGATGGCGGCCCTTTCGTAATTACTGGGCCGCCGCCCGAAGGCACAGTAAACTAAGACGGAGTTGTGGTGTTCGTTAATGCAGTTTGGCGCGTTGCGCAGGCAACTGCCACGTAATGCGAGATGCGCATTGGGACGCATGGGTGGGCCAAGTTGCTCCCTGACGACGGCGCGCGCGCATCGACGCGGCCTTCGAACGTGAAGTTCGTATTCACGTGGGCAATCTATCACACGTCGCCCAAATGAGCATTGCGATGGACAGTTTCGCCTTGGGGCCGTGCTGTGGCAACAGTGGACTTGTCGGTCGCCGCGCGCGCCTGTTCGTCCCGCAGGCGGCCGCCGCCGCCATATATACACTGTCAGACGAAGGACCTTGCTCGAGGTCGAATCCGTCATATGTCCTGGTTGCGCGCCTGTGTCGCATATGTTGAACGCGCCTGGCGCAGGCGGGAAGTTGGGCCCACGCTGCAATTCGTTGTCGCGTGGCCGCAAGTCCACGGGACAACAGGTGACGTTTGGTGCGGTTGCTTTGTGGCGCGCTGGGACGTAGAATTCCACTCCCAAGCGTTTAACTGCGCTCCCTGGGCGCTACCGTCGCATAATCCCGCCACAGCACCGCTGCGGGGGAACCCCAATAGCCAAAAAATGTTGGAGGGCGAAGGAGCACTGCGAAGCGGAAGGGGGGCGGGCGTCGAGAGAACGAACGAGCATAAGGGCGAGGAGGAAGAGGAGGAGGAAGGGAGGAAGGGAGGGGGGAGGGAGGGAGGGGGAGGAGGGGAGGGAAGGCTTGGATGACGACGACGACGAGGATACGGAAGCCGAGGGAGGGGGGAACGGCCAGATACCGAAACTGTCAGTGCCAAGTGGTGCCCTGCCAGGCAGCGCACGCCATCGCGGCTGGGATTTCTCAAGCCGAGTCGATCTGCAAAGGCCCTCTGGCCCGACGGAAACTCGAGGGGGGGGGGCCAACGAGTCGCCTGGCAATCTCGCCCGCTGAGAAGGACGTCCGGCGCCAGCTGCCTGGCACTTTCGCCCCCCCCCCCACATACGCGACGCACCGACGTCGTGACCATCGGATCGTCCCTCCAAGGCTAACGCGGTCGAGGGACCCACGTTGCTCCCCCATGCACACGGCGACGACGACGACGGCGGCGACGACGACGACGACGACGTCGACAACGACTGACGGCTGACGACTGACGGGCGACGGATGACGACCACGACGACGACGACGGACGACGGCGACGACGACGACGGACGACGACGACGACGAAGACGACGACGACGACGACGGCGACGACGACGACGACGACGGCGGCGGTGGCGGCGGCGACGACGACGACGACGGACGACGATGTTGGGCGACGACGACGGCGGCGACGACGACGACGACGACGACGACGACGGCGGCGGCGGCGGCGACGACGACGACGACGACGGCGACGACGATGATGGACGACGACGACGACGACGGCGGCGGCGGCGACGACGACGAATACGACGACAACGACGACGACGACGACGACGACGACGACGACCTCCGGCGGGGTGGCCCCAGGGCGTCCCGCGGGAGGCGGGGTTACGGGGCGCAGCCGGCCACGCGCGCCAACCGACTGCCGAACGAGGTGTCACCCCCGTTTCTGCACGGGCTGCGAACCTCCATCCCCCTGGCGGCCCCGCGGAAGTCCCACGGAGGTCCCACGGAAGTCTCACAGAGGCCCCCGAACGCCCCTGGAGGCCCCGCGGAAGCCTCCTGGGGTTTCGGAAGCCTCCGTCGTCGGCCCCTGGAAGCCTCGCGGGGACCTCCTGGGGCCGACAGCCCCTGGAGGCGTCCCCGGCCCCTGGGGGCCTTCTCGCTGGCCCCTTGAGGCCACGTCGGCCCCTCGGGGCGGCGGCGGCGTCGTCGTCGTGGTCGTCCTGGTCGTTGTCGTGGTCGTGGTCGTGGTCGTCGTCGTCGTCGTCGCCTTCGTCGCCGTCGTCGTCGTCGTCGTCGTCGTCGTCGCCTTCGTCGTCGTCGTCGTCGTCGTCGTCGTCCTCGCCGTCGTCGCCGTCGTCGCCGCAGCCGTCGTCGTCGCTGTCGTCGTAGTCTTCGTCGCCGCCGCCGCCGCCGCTGTCGTCGTCGTTGTTGTGCTTTGCAAGGCCCAAGAGTCTCGGGTTCTTTTTTGCTCCTCTGTTGTGCCTCCCAGGCCGCCCCCTCAAAAAAGGCGTCCTCTGCAGTGCGAGCGCGCAGAAGCCACGCCAAGCATTGGCGCCACAGACTCACGGGGCGGTGCCAACTCACCAGGGCTCAGCACATGCGCTGGAGGAAGGGACTCCGGCTCCCATCAGGACGCCATCGGCGCCAGGACCTCCTGGTCGAACACGCCTGCCATGGGGCACTCCCTCGGGTCGTAGCCCTCCAGGACGCAGTGCACCTTCCACAGCTCCTTGATCAGTTCCCTCAAAGCGTGATTGTAGCCCCCATACTTCTGCCAGCTCCGTGACACAATCCCTGCTGGAGGCACGCGCCCCTGCCAGGCCTGACCGCGGAAGGAACGCCAGATGTACGACCCTGGAGGCTTGTACTTGTTCGCGTCCTTGTGATCGATCCCAATCGGTAGCGCTGTCGGCGCGACTGGTTCCGGCGGAGGGGCTTTTTTATCTGTTTTATCCTTCTTGTCTTTCTTATCTTTCTTCTCCTTCTTCGCAGCTTTTGCTTCGGCCTCCTCCCGCGCCTTGCGGCGAGACATCTGCACGACTGTGAACTCCCGCACAAGGTCGTCCTGCACGCCTTTCCTGGCCGCGTACTTCTTCTGCTCTTTGTGAAGCTTCTCGATGTCGTCATTCGTCAGCACTTTCTCCGCCTCCTCTATCTCCAGCAACTCGTCCAAGGCAACGGTGTCCTGCACCAGCGCCGCGACGCGCTTCTTCGCGATGCCCAACGCCTCGTCCTCGGAGCACTCCAAAATGCCCATGATAAGGGACACAATGACTTCAAGGAGGCTGGAGGCATGGCCCCTCACGGGGATCCCAAACATCTTCGCCAACCAAACAAGGAATGACAACTCCCAGTTCCAGAAGCACTCCCTCGCTGCAAGTGTTTTCAGCGGAATGTCCTCTGCGGCATACACGATCATGCGGACGCCCTTGTGCCAGCCAGGAGGCGCCTTCTTCAAGTGGCGGCGCTGCCACGCCGGCGAGCGCCACTCGAACGGGCGCACGAGGAAGTCATCCAAGTCCACCATTGGCAGGAAGACGGGTTCTACGTTGTCGTTCGTCGGGTCAACGTACCAGAAGTCGTCGTGCCCAGGCACGGCCTTCAGCTGGATCTGCCACGCAATCGCCGCCGAATTCGGGAAATTACCGAGGCCCAAATACCATGTCGAACCCTTCGTTGGCGGATCCGTGTCCTTCCTCCTCAAGACGAACGGAAGGCAGTCCGACGCAGCGCTGCAGACAGCATTGCTGAGCTTCGAGAAACCGCAGAACTCTTTGCAGTAACGAACTAGATGCAGATCTCCAACTGGCGTCGCGAGATTGACGGCCTTCGGGGAGTAATACGGGGCTGCTGCATGTGTCGTTGCAATGCCACCCAAGTCCACGGATGGTTTCAAAGGTGTTTTCCCGAATGCCTCCGCGCTCAACCTCGCCTTTTTCCTGGAAGCAGGGACCCCGTCATCGACCTCCACGTACCTGTGCCTCTTCGATGGCAAGTGGTTCGCCAGTGCCATCCCCATGCTTCGCTCCGGTTTGCGGAAAACTTTCGAACCTTTCACTTGCTTGGCGTTCTTCGCATACCCGAAGAATTCCTCGCTGAAGTGCGTGGCGAACACCCCGTGGAACCGGTCGCTCAGCCAATCCCCGGACTCTTGGTCCAAGAGCCACTGCTTCTCCGTGAAGCAATCCACGTATTGTTCAACGTTTGCCCGCTTGAATTGGGAACGGGAGAGGTGCCACTTCACTTCGCCTGGCTTGTCGTGCCGTCTCATCGCTTCGTAGGAGTCGAGATCATTCCTGAATGCGTCGAGTATGCGCTGCTTCCGGTCAGGCGCAACCTCCCCGACAAGACCAATCAATTTGTGGGGCCACCCGAACATGAAACTCCTGCGCTTCGTCCTGTTCCCAACCATCCTGAGGCACAGCGTCCCCATTAGGTTCGCCCACTGGTCTTCCACGAACTCCCGGTGCTCGTCGAAGTCCCCAGGGAGCACGCCCATCTCGAATCCGCACTCGGACAACGTGTCATCGTCGAGCAACGCGCCGAACACGAGCCTCAGCGTGTCCATGAAGCGCCCCTCGACTTGACCACGCGCCCAAGCAAGGTTTCCACCGACAGACCTGCAGTCGCGGTTGAACCCTCCTGAGGCGTCCACGAGAGGGACAGCCAGAGACGTCATGATGGCGATGCGGCGCCGATTATCACGGACACTCATCAGGACCAAGGAAACAACAGCTGCGTTCTGGCAGCACGAACGGAGCACCTTCCCATCGTGGCAGGCAGCAGTCGTGCCTCCGCTCAAATCGCCAGCGGCCTCTGCGTGCGTGGACTTCAGCACCGTCGTGGCGAACTTGCCGGTGCCCAAAAAATCCATTTCCACGCACAAGATCTCCAGTTTCCACAGCATCAACTCCCACTCCTGCTCAGGGGGGCTGCAAGACTGCACCAGAAGCGCCTCGGCCGGGAAAACTTGCGCGGAGGCGTCAGGGAAAGCCCAAGACGTGCCAGCCTCGAACACCCTGCCTTGCAGCAGGTGGTGTTGCGGGGCAACTCAGCATCCTCCTCCTCTTCCTCCTCCTCCTCTTCCTCCTCCTCCTCCTCCTCTGTCCACCCCCTCTTTCTCTTCCTCCTCCTCCTCCCCTCGTCCTCCTCCTCTTCCTCCTCCTCCCCCTCCCCCCCTCGTCCTCCACATCCTCCTTTTCCTCCTTTCCCTCCTGCACCTCCCTCTGCTCCTCGACCTCCTTCCTCGTCCTCCTCCTCGTCCTCCTCCTCCTCCTGCGCCTCTTCCTTTCCTCTTCCTGTTGATGCTGCTGCTCGTCCCTCTATAATTGTTTCCTCTTTTCTCCCTCATCATCCTCCTCTTCCTCCTCCTCCTTCTCCCTTCTCCTCCTCCTTCTCCTCGTCCCCCTCGTCCTCCCTCCTGCTCCTCCTCCTCCTCCTCCTCCTCCTCTTCTGGGTCTGGTGCAACAATGTGGTGCGAGAGTCTTTTACTTGTATGACATTCGGGCTTGGTTGGTCTGCGAATGAGAGCGGGGTTTTGCTTGGGCCATCATGCGGGCCCTCGACCCCTGACCCACCTGAGACCCCCCGGATCCTTCGCACATCTTCGAACCAACTTCGGGACCGCCCTCCCCGCCCCCACCCCGAAAACTGGGCCAGCAGGCGGGGTCTCACCGTACCCGCTCCCTGTAACTGCTGGCCCCATTGTCGGGGCAAGGCAAGGAAGGGCAAGGTCAGAGACAACTTTCTGCTCTTCTCACATCTTCGAGTCAACGCTGGGATCCTTTCACATCTTCGAGGCAACTTCGGGACCCCCCTCCCCGCCCCCACCTCGAAAACTGTGCCAGCAGGCGGGGTCTCACCGTACCCGCTCCCTGTAACTGCTGGCCCCATTTTCGGGGTAAGGGAAGGAAGGGCAAGGTCATCATCATCCTGAAGGCTCGAGGTTGAAGGCTCAAGGCGGAAGCGCGGGAATCGAAATCTGGCGGGGCATTCCTTCACAACTCCGCGCGGCCTCCCTCCTCTGGGCGCTGGTCTCCGCTCCCTCTGGGCGCGTCTCTCCTCCCTCTGGGCGCGCACCCCCCCGCGGGCGCCGCCATAGTATTTTGATTCTGGGAACTTCTAACCACGTCTTGGGACGAGCCTGAGGACCAGGCAAGGCTTCTGGATCAGTTGGGTCTTGGCAATTGGCTTGAGACCAGAGGCCCTAGGGGCCTGATCTCTCCTCCCTTTCGAGAGGCCATAGGGGTACCCTGTAGGAACGATACGCAAGTCGTGATAGAGAAACTCGCATTCTAACTACGTCTTCCCTTGCATTCCAAGACGCCCCAGGAGGCTCACGAGAGGGCCCCAAGAGGCCTCAAGAGGACCCAGGAGAGGCCACGACCCCTCCTCCCATTCGAGAGGCCATAAGGGTTCCCTTTCGGAGCGACACACGAGAGGTCCCGGATGCCTCCAGAGGCCCTTCGGGACAACAAAATACATCGGAAGGCCTAGGCCCTCCGAGGCTTGCGCAAGTGCAGTTGGGGCAGTGTCCACTAGGGCCCTCATTCGTCGTCCCGCGTGGTCCTTCAACAGTCCCACGTTCGCCTTGACCCACGCCCCGAAACGACACAAAGAAACGCGACGGCCCTGCGTCGCGCCATGCTCCCGCTCCCTCAAGTGCGCCCAGAGCTCTTTCTCCGCTGTGGCGGGGGTGGATGGCTCGAACTCCCCCTTCAACTCCGACAGGATTCCACTGGAGTGCTCCCGGAAGCTGGCGCAAGAATCGTGCGTGAAGACCTTGAACACCATCGACGACATTTCCGTGAATTGGTTGAAACGCATGTCCTTGTCTTTCTCGGGGCCGTGCATGAGGTTCTGCCTGCAGAGCCAGGTGAGAACGAGCGGGAACAACCCAGTGGCTTTGTACGCATTCATTATGTCATTGTTCACGTCGTGGTCCTCGTCCCACCACTCCGTGACGTTAATCCCTAACTTGTAGGCCAAGCACTGGACGGCGCTCGCCCCGTCGCCGCCGCGGTCCTGGGCCATGTTGAGGTGAGGGCGGTCTCTCCACCCCTCTGGGCGCCAGGGCCCCTTACCTACTGCCCTCTGAAAGTCAGCCAGGCCGGTCCAACGCGTCCCCACGGCGATGATGTTGTCCTTCGACTCGATCCATTTCCGCGTGGACACGCGGTAGCGAGGCCTGGGGCGCCACCCCTTGTCCTTTGCCGTCGAAGCATTACGGCGCAGCCAATGCAAATGACGTAGATTCATCCGCCGGGCTGCGGAAGACTTCGTGAAATGCTCCACCTCCTCTGGGGTCCGGAACGCCTTGGCCACCTCCGGGGGGGCAACCAGGTAAAAAAAAAAAAAAAAAAAAAAAAAAAATCCCCGACCCTATGGTGTATACGGAATTCCCAACAGTCACGAGGATGGCATACACGCGTCGAAAGACGCTATGGTGTATACCGCAAAAACACAGGGAAAATCATATACACCATGAGTTGGATTTTTTTTTTTTTTACCTCTGGGCCGGGCACCGCCGGGGGGCCCCAGAGGCCGACCAGATCAGGGCCCCGCACGCAACGCTTCAGCCTGGATCCGTTCCCCATGGTCCGGAGCCCCGCAGACGGCCTCCAGAGGCCGAACAGATCAGGAACAGATCAGAGAGGAAGAAGGACGGAGGAGGGAGGAGGCAGGAGCGAAGAGGGAAAACGAAGGAGGGAGGAAGGAGAAGGGATGGAGGGGAGGGAGCAGGGAGGAGGGAGGAGGGAGGAGGGGGGAGGGAGGAGGGGCCCGGGGGGAGGGACGAGGGAGGAGGGAGGGAGGAGGGAGGAGAGAGGGAGGAGGGACGAGGGAGGAGAGAGGAGGGAGGAGGGAGATCCCCCTCTGGCGGTCGCCCTGGAGATGCGCCCCTGGCTGTTCCGCGCGCGGAACCTGAGGCACTGCGATGGCGCACGTGTTGTTCGGGAAGAAGATGCCCCGGCATCCAGAGTCAAGCCGCAAGCGTTGCCCTTGTCGGTAACGATGGAGATGGACGTGAACTGCTCGGACATGGTAACGCCCCCCAGGACGTGCCGCAAGAGGGCGCAGTTGAGCGAGTCCGGTGCGTCCATCAAGTCCAACAAACTGTCGAACTTTGCGCTGACCTGGCTTCCGGAGCTCTTGTAGTTGGCGGCCAGGTATATGTCCTTCTCAATGCAATGCGCCAATTGTACTGCGATCTGAACGAAGAGCGGACCACCGGTTCTCTCAGTGCAGTACCTCATCGACAGGCAGAAAAGGTCCCGAAGCAGGATCGTCTCTGAAGTGTCATCCAAGCGCAGAAGGCCCCACCATGCCTGACACTGGCGGAGCAAGACCAAATCCCAATCCACCTCCAAGCGAGGGGCCGGCACAGGCGGACGGGCCGCTCCCTGAAGGCGCCCCGCCCCCTGGGACGGCACGTCGCGAGCGGATGGTTTGGACAGTGATTCGGCCCCCTCTGCCCGGGACATGATGCCAGAAGACGTCTCTAGGTCCCTGCGGTCCCGCCACGCGCGCAGATCCACCTTGCCGTCGAGCACCGACAGCGTCACGTGGGCCTGCGGACGCGGCTCCGGCCACGTCCAGCGGAAGTCATCCGAGAAGTGCACGTCGAGAGCTTTGCAAACTTTTGGGTGCTCCACGGTGTCCGCGAGGAGGCCCCTGAGCAATTCTTCCACTGCATCCCTCCTCGCATGCAGACCGCCGTGTTGCGGAGGTTTCTGAGTCCACCTCGCCAAACACTGCAGAAGCCCAAACGTGCTCAAGCACGTCGCAGGCAAAAAATAATCAGCGTCCACGGTGCGATCCTCGCCCTCTCCACTGTGGCTGCTGTGAAGAATTTGTCGGCTCAACCCGAATTCGCTGCAATGGCGGCGCCATGTGCCGCTGCTCTGGAAAGCCCATTTGGATGGTTGTTTCTTGTAGCTCGTCAATTGCAGCACCGTGTACACGTTATGGGCGTTCCAAGCGAAATGGAGGTTCCCAGGCAAAGGCCACGGGAGGTAGAAAGTTTGCAGACTCACCGCAGCGCGGATCGCCCCGATCCCAACGGTCACTGTGAGCGTCCTGTACTTTTGTTGCAAATCATACAAGCTGAACCTGACCGTCTTTCCCTTCCGCACCTCAGAATAGAAACGCTCCCCGTGCTTGTCGACCTCCAAACACCGCTTAAGCACGACCTCTGGCAAAATCGTCTCGTCGGACCCGACGTCAGACAGGCAAGCCCAACCGTCGTCATCAACATCTAGTTGCCAATGTTCCACTGGCTGCGGGAGGAATTGCTGCTCGAGTGTGACAGGGTGGATGAGTTCCCACCTCCCATCCGCGGTGCGGGGTGGCACAAGTATCACATCTTTCGTAGGGCATTCCTCGTACCCCGCGTCGTCCTCAGCGGCCGGCGGGGGCTTCGAGGGCGCAGCCGTTCCGACCATTTGTCGGACTGGCGCTGTTTGCCTCGGCCAGACAGGTTTGAGCCCAAACGGCTACGGCAAGTGACCATTGAGCCCCCGAGCCCCTGGCCCCATGAGGCACAAGGGCACGCGAGCTCAATGGCCCTTTGAGGCCATTCGTGGCCCTCATGGGGCACAGGGGCCACGAAAGGCGAGTGAATTCCATTGTGCTCACGAGGCTCACGCGGCGCAGAGAATCGTGCCTACATCGCACACCCCTGCGTCGGCACAGGAGGGCCAACCCATCCGCCATCATCATGCAGTGGTTGAACTTTGCTTCCGCCAGCTTCCGCCTCGACCCGGTGCCCAGCACCGGACAGCCCAAATTTGCGCACTCTGCACGTGTCTCCGTAACGTTTTGCTCCCGCCAGCTTCCGCAGACTCCACCTTTCCAGCCTTGGACAAACCCAAATCGCTGAATCCACTGTGGCAGGACCAGACGAGGAGCCACCTCGGGGATACCCACGGCTAGCCTCGAACACCGTGCCTTGAAGGAGGTGGTGCTGCAGGGCAACTCACCATCGTCCTCCTCTTCTTCCTCCTCCTCTTCCTCCTCCTCCTCCTCCTCCTCCTCCTCCTCCTCTCTCCACCTCCTCTTTCTATTCCTCCGCCCCTCCTCCTCCTCCCCTCCTCCTCCTCCTCCTCCTCTTCCTCACCCCCGTCGTCCTCCACATCCTCCTTTTCCTCCTTTCCCTCCTCCTCCTCCCTCTGCTCCTTGTCCTCCTTCCTCGTCCTCCTCCTCGTCCTCCTCCTCCTGTCGCTCCTCCTTTCCTCTTCCTGGTGATGCTGCTGCTCGTCCTCCTATTATTGTTTACTGTATTCCTCCCCCTCATCATCCTCCTCTTCCTCCTCCTCCTTCTCCCCCTCCTCCTCCTCCTCCTCCTCCTCCTCTTCGTCCTCCTCCCTCCTCCTCCTCCTCCTCCTCTTGTGTGTCTGGTGCAACACTGTGTTGCGAGGAACTATTGATTGTATGCCATTCGCGCATAATTGGCACGCGAATGAAAGCGGTGTATTGCCTGGGCTGTCTTGCGGACCCTTGGCCCCTGATCCCCTGAGACCCCCCGGATCCTTCGCACATCTTCGAGCCAACTTCGGGACCCCCCCCCCCCGCCCCCACCCCGAAAACTGGGCCAGCAGGCGGGGTCTCACCGCACCCGCTCCCTGTAACTGCTGGCCCCATTTTCGGGGTAAGGGAAGGAAGAGCAAGGTCAGAGACAACTTTCTGCTCTTCTCACATCATGGAGACAACGCTGGGATCCTCGCACATCTTCGAGCCAACTTCGGGACCACCCTCCCCGCCCCCACTCCGAAAACTGGGCCAGCAGGCGGGGTCTCACCGCACCCGCTCCCTGTAACTGCTGGCCCCATTTTCGGGGTAAGGGAAGGAAGGGCAAGGTCATCATCACCCTCATCATCATCATCGTCCCTCCTGATCATCATTATCATCATCGTCGTCGTCCTCCTCTTGAAGCCACCTTGGGAGGCTATCGGTCTCTTGGAGCGCTCTTCAAGCTCTCTCGGGGGCCTCTTGGGGGCCTCTTGGGGCCTTTGGAGCCGTATGAAGCCGAGAGACGCAGCGTTCTACAACAACTCGCATTCTACATAGGTTTTCTTTTGCACTCCAGGACGCCCCAAGAGGGCCCAAGGAGGCCCCAGGAGGCCCCCACGAGGCCATGATCTCTCCTCCCTGTCGAGAGGCCATAAGGGGTTCCCTGTAGGAGCGACACACGAGTCGTGATAGAAGAACTCGCATTCTAACTGCGTCTTCCGTTGCATTCCAAGACGCCCCAAGGAGGCCCCCGAGAGGCCCCAAGAGGCCTCCAGGAGGCCCTCACTCCCCCCCTCCCTTTCGAAAGGCCATAGGGGTTCCCTATAGCCCATAGGAGCGACGCGCGAGTCGTGATAGAAGAAGTCAGATTCTAACTACGTCTTCTCTTGCACTCCCTGACGCCGGGAGAAGCCACCGAGAAGCCCCAAGAGGCCCCAAAAAAACAGGAGGCGCTGACCCCTCCTCCCTTTCGAGAGGCCACAGGGGTCCCCTACAGGAGCGACGCACGAGTCGTGATAAAAGACATCGAATTTTAACTACGTCTTCCCTTGCACTCCGAAGGCGTCCCAAGAAGCCCCCGAGAGGCCCAAGGAGGCCCCCAAGAAGCCCTGATCTCTCCTCCCCATCGAGAAGCCATACGGGTTCCCTATAGGAGCGACACGCAAGTCGTGATAGAGGAACTCACGTTCTAACTACGTCTCCCCTTGCATTCCATGACGCCCCAAGAGGCCCCCCGAAGGCCCCAAGAGGCCCCCAGGAGGCCCTGACCCCTCCCCCCTTTCGAAAACCCATAGGGGATCCCTATAGCCCATAGGAGCGACATACGAGTCGTGATAGAAGAACTCGCATTTTAACTACGTCTTCGCTCGCACTCCAAGACGCCCGAAAAGAACCCCGAGAAACCCCAAGAGGCCCCAAGAGGCCTCCAGGAGGCCCTGACCCCTCCTCCCCTTCGAGAAACCTTATGGAGTCTCCTATAGGAGCGACACACAAGTCGTGAAAAAAGAACTCCGGCTCTCATTACGTCTTCACTTGCACTCCGAAGACGCCCCAAGAGGCCCCCGAGAGGCCCCAGGAGGCCCCCAAGAGGCCCAGATCTCTCCTCCCTGTCGAGAGGCCATAGGGGTTCCTTGTAGGAGCGACACGCGAGTCGTGATAGAAGAACTCGCATTCTAACTACGTTTTCCCTTGCATTCCAAGACGCCCCAAGAGGCCCCCGCAAGGCCCCAAGAGGCCCCCAGGAGGCCCTGTCCCGTCCTGCCCTTCGAGAAACCATAGGGATTTCCTATTGGAACGACATACGAATCGTGATAGAAGAACTCGCATTCTAACTACGTTTTCCCTTGAACCCCAAGACGCCCCGAGAGGCCCCCGCAAGGCCCCGAGAGGCCCCAAGAACACCAGGAAGCCCCGACCCCTCCTCCCCTTGGAGAAGCCATAGGGGTCCCCTATAGGAGCGACACACGAGTCGTGATAAAAGAACTCGGATTGTAACTACGTTTTCCTCTGTACTCCAAGAGGCCCCGTTAGGCCCCCCCTGAGGCCTCCCGAAAGGGAGGGGCTCCGGTGAGAGGCGCCGCAGGCGGCGGGGAGGACAGAGAGGGGGGGGAACGGAGGGCATGATAACGATGATGATTTTTTCTGGGCGGCCCCCGACCAGAGCAGAACAACGCCAGACAGCGCGAGAGCCACGCTGCCTCCCTGTCGCGGAAAACGCTCGCGGTGCCGCCTATTGCGTCGCACACCCCAGGAGCCCAGGAGAGAACGCCCGCCACCCATCGCGGAAGCGCCCCCTCGCCGACGCTCGCGTGCCCGCGACGGCACCCTCAGAGCTGCGCAACTGCACCCCCAGCTGCGCACTGCGTGCTTTGAAACCAAGAGCAGGGCGCCCAGCCAACCTGAGCAGCGCCACTGCATCGAGTGGCCGCTCAGGGCTGGGCGGCGGCGGGCGCCGCCACCTTCGCGGCGGACCCCTTGCAGGCACGCTTGGCAGCCCGCTTCGCGGCAGCTTCCTGCAATTTGTCCATCGAGCGCTTGGTCGCCGCCTTGTTCTGCTCGCGGATCTCTTTCTTGAACTCAGGCGACGGGCCCTCCGTGGCGCCGACGGTGGCTGACTGCTTCTGCTCATCGACCTGCTGGACGGAACGCTTGACGATGTCGTCCCACAACGTGTTGGAACCACCCAGAGGCATATCAGAGTGGGGGTTCTTTGAGTTCCCCTTGTGGTGTTTGAAAAACTTGAGGATGGGATACGACTGCACGGCGTTCTTCTTCACGACGGCACGGGTGTGGCTCCAATTGTACACGATGTCCCAAGCTTCAGTGATCTCGTATTCGGCACTCACATCAACCGCGTACGCCGTGGGCTTGTACACAAACTTGGTGCACTTCTGATTGGCGTCGAAGACCATGCCGAAAAGGCCGATGCTCCCCCACGCCACGGCACCTGTGTCTGGGTTCACAGTGGGACGAGCCCCGCCGGAAGTGAGGTCGGACAGGTACTTGTTGGCTGTCTCATCGGAACGAATGGCCACGGCGCGATGCAACACCAACTTGCTTTGCAGAGCGGGGTGGCACTTCAGACCCTTCGCGAGATTGTGCTTCAAGCGGAAGACGTTCGGGAGCGCCTGCGAATCGTAAACTTTCATGCGCGCCAGAACCGTGTCCGACAGCTTGAACGTTTTCTTGGCCCACTGGACGAGCCAATCGTAGTCCAGGTCCCCGATCGTGTCGGGCGCCACCTGAAACTGATGCTCAATGTCGCTCTCCTGGTGCCCCGTCAACTTGTTTGTAAGCTTCGTCACCGTCCGCTCCCGCTCCTTCGGGTAGTTCCACAGAATCTGGACCGCGTCGACGAAAGCCCTATGCTCGATCTGCTCGTCCTCAGTGGCGTGTTTGGGGAGGGCCGGCATGTGCTTCAGGAGGGGGCACGCCTTCGGCAAAGCGAGCTGCCTCGACAGAGACATGGCGCCGAAGCAGGCAATCCACGACCGCGAGAAAAAAAAAGAGACCAGCACACTCTCGAGCCAGACAGCTACGGAAGGCACTGAGGACGTCAAAAATAATGATATCAGACAACTGCTACTGCATGTGGCCGACGAGAATCGCACTGCCGACTCGCTGTGCCCGACAATATATATGAGGATGACTCGCAAGGCCAGCCGGCTGGAAGAGATTTCCCGCGAACGCGAGCGGCAATGCTGTCGACAGAACCGCCCATCAAGCAAGGATAACCGAACTCCTCTTGCTGTCGTTCCTCCCCCCCCTCCTCTTCCTACCACCCCTCTCCTTGTCATAATATTAATTGTCCTCCTCCTCCGCCTCCTCCCAACTCCCCCTCTTTTTTTTTTCTTGTGCTGCGGACTAATCTGGTCAATGCGTCTCAGCGATGATCCGTGGGCAACGCCCGCGCGATCTAAAGCGAAGAAAAAAACATGCTGCCAACGAATGCTCGCGCAAACGGGTGGATCGCAACGGAAAGTCGTCGCGACACGGCGAGGCGGCCAAGTCCAGCAAAACGTGGCGCGCTGAAGCCGCCGCGGCAAAAACGCAAACACCGCGGGCGGAGCCGCGATTCGCTCGCGAGGTGCAACTGGAATCTCCGCGCGGGCGCAGCCTCTCGCCACCGCATGAGCAGGCGCAACTACATGATATTCGGTTCCCGAAGAAGGGCGGGGCACGCTGCAGCGGCGCTCCGGAATGAACCACCCAGACAACGACCAAAGAGAAAAAAATCTAAAACACCACGGCACGGTGACGGTGTATAGATGAATTCTCCGGAGCGTTGGTCCTGCCCTTCTGGTAGTTCCTCAACGCTGTCTCCACCTTGGCAGCGGGCCAACCGAAAATATTATATCCCTCCGTGTTCACCTGCGTGTCCGTCCACTCCGTGAACTGGTTGCGGTTGTTGGAGCGCGGGCCTTTTTCGCGGATGAACTTGTAGCCCGCGACGCGCTCGTCCTCCGCCAGTGGCTGCTTGCGCTCGTTCTGCGGCTTCAGCGTGAAGTACCTGATCTGGAACCCTTCCAGCTTCTCCAGCATAAGTTGGAAAGCAGCGGAACCCAACCTGCAGTTATTTCCGTAGTCGATCTTATGCGCCTCGCCGCTCGCAAACTTCAAGATACTCTGGGCGTCCACCATGTTCTTCTCGAAGCTGACCACTTTTAATATGCGGTACTTCGAGCAATCGTCGCCCTCGGGCTTCTGCATGGCACAACCCGTCGAAGTTTGAGCGGCATCCAGCGGCTTAGCGGCTTGAACAAAACACACACGTAATCGCCATCACTATCATGAACCTCATCCTCGTCGTCCTCATCGTCCTCGTCATCATCGTGATCATCATCATCATCACCATCGTCATCGCCATCGTCATCGTCATCATCGTTCTCTCCATCATCATCGCGACCATCATCATCACCATCGTCAACATAATCAGCCGCGGCGAACTCCTCCTCCTCTCCTCCCCCTCGTCCTACTCAGTGCCATTCGCAGCTGGAGGCTGGAACACCAGAGACCATTGAGAAAACCCAAAAAACCTCAGAAAAAAAACTTTTTTATATATTTTTATATATTTTTATCAGCAAAAAAAAACTAATTTCCTAACATATCTGCCTGACCCGAGGCCACTTCCTGAAGCTCGCCCGAACTATTGTTTTTGTTTCTGTTTTTTTTGTTTTTTTTTTTAAGTTTTCCTGCGGTTCCCGCTTGAGGACTGCTGTGGGCGCTCTCCGACGCCCAAATCGGAAACTCCTCCTCCTCTCCTCCTCCTCGTCCCACTCAGTGCCATTCGCAGCTGGAGGCTGGAACACCAGAGACCATGGAGAAAACCTAAAAAAACCTAAAAGAAAACCTACAGATAATATATATATATATATATATATATATAAAAATCTAGTTGCCGTACAAATCTGCCTGACCCGAGGCCACTTCCTGAAGTTCGCCCGAAAAAATTGTTCTTTTAGGTGTTTTAAGTTTTTTTGGTTTTCCTGCGACTCCCGCTTGAGGACTGCTGGGGGCGCTCTCCGACGCCCATGTCGGAAAACGCTGAAAACGCCCAGGCCTGCATCGGGCCTGGCGCCCCTCCACCTCCTCCTCCTCCTCCTCCTCCTCCTCCTCCTCCTCCTCACCCTTGCTCTGAGGCGCAAGAGCCATGGCACACGTGCCACTTGTTATGACTACCAAAAACTACTACGACACGTACTACTACTACTACTACTACTACTACTACTACTACTACTACTACTACTACTACTACTACTACTACTACTACTACTACTACTACTACTACTACTACTACTACTACTACTACTACTACTACTACTACGTACTACTACTACTACTACTACTACTACTACTACTACTACTACTACTACTACTACTACTCTACTACTGACTACTCTACTGACTACACTGCTACTACTACTACTACTACTACTACTACCTACTACGAACTACTACTACCTACTACGACTAATACGACTACTACTACTACTACTACTACTACTACTTACTACTACTACTACTACTACTTACCAAATTTTACTCTTTTATACTACGTTTACTATCTACTACTACACGACTACTACTAACATACTACTACTACTACTGCTACTGCTATGCTGCTACTAGTGCTACTGCTACTACTACTACTATACTACTACTACTACTACTAACTACTACTACTACTACTCCTACTCCTACTTCCTACTACTACTACTACTACTACTACTACGGAACTACGCCTACTACTACAACTACGCTACTACTACTACACTACGACTACGACCACTACTACGACTACGACGGACTACTACTACTACACTACTACTACTACTACTAACCTACTCACCTACGTATCTAACTACTCCTACTACTACGACGACCACCACCACCACCACCACCACCACCACGCACCACCACCACCACCACACCTACCACCACCCACCACACACTCCTACTACTACTACTACTACTGCTACTGACTACTGCTACTGCTACTGCTACTACTGCTACTGCTACTACTACTCTACTACTACTAATACTACTACTACTACTACTGCTACTGGCCTTCTACCACTCTTATCACTGCCTAATACGACTGCTACTACTACTACTACTACTACTACGACTACTACTACTAATACTACTACTACTACTATTACTACTACTACTATACTGCTACTACTACTACTACTACTACTACTACTACTACTACTACTACTACTACTACTAAAACTGCCACTACTGCTACTACAACAACTACTACTACTAGGGCTAAACGAAGTCTGTGTTACCAGGTTTGAATGAATGGAAAAGGGTAAGTAAGGGTTCGGGTTCGGGTTCGGGTTCGGGAACGACGCCGGCGAACAATTATCCCGGCGAAGGGCCCAACCATGTGCAGGCGAAGGGCCCAACCATGTGCAGCTGTGTGTAACGCAGGTGTGGGTATCGTCCTCGGTAAACCTCCCTCTGAGACCACGACACGTGTGACGGGTGTGCCAAAATTGGCACGGGTACGCCATGCGGACGCTGCCACAGGAGCCGTCGGTGCAGCCCCATCTGAGGCCACGAAACGCGTGAGGGGTGCGCCGAAATGCAGGGTGGAACCACGTGCGGGCGCTGCCACCAGGGCCTTTGGTGGCCGCGAAACGTGGAAGGGGTGCGCCGAAATGAGGGGGAACTGCACGCGGAACCTGCCACTGGGGCCCTAAGTGGAACACTCCATGGGGCCACGGTACGTGTGAGGGGTGCGCCGACATGGAGGGGAGCTGCATGCGGACTTGCCACGGGGGCCTTGAATGGAGCACCTTATGGGGTAACGAAACGTGTGAGGGGTGCGCCGAAATGGAGGTGGACCTGCATGTGGACCCTGCCACTGGAGCCTACGGCGGAGCACCGTATGGGGCCACGAGACGCGTGAGGGGTGCGCCGAAATGGGGATGGAACTGCATGCTGACCCTGCCACTGGGGCCTTCCGCGGAGCACCCTATGTGGCCACGAAACGTGTGAGAGGTGCGCCGAAATGGGGGTGGAACTGCATGCGGACCTTGCCACTGGAGCCTTCGGCGGAGCACCCTATGGGACCACGAAACGTGTGAGGGGTGCGCCGAAATGGAGGTGGAACTGCATGCGGGCCCTGCCACTGGGGTCATCGGCGGAACACACCATGGGGCCACGAAACGTGTGAGGGGTGCGCCGACATGGGAGTGGAACTGCATGCGGACCCTGCCACTGGGGCCTTCGGCGGAGCACCCGATGGGGCCACGAAATGTGGAAGGGGTGCGCCGAAATGGAGGTGGAACTGCATGCGGACCCTGTCACGAGGGCCTTCCGCGGAGCACCCTATGGGGCCACGAAATGTGTGAGGGGTGCGCCGAAATGTGGGTGGAACTGCATGCGGACCCTGCCACTGGGGCCTTCGGCGGAGCACTAGGGCCACGAAACGTGTCAGGGGTGGTCCGAAATGGGGGTGGAACTGCATGCGGACCCTGCCACTGGGGCCTTGGGCGGAGCACCCTATCGGGCCACGAAACGTGTCAGGGGTTCGCCGAAATGGGGGTGGAACTGCATGCGGACCCTGCCACTGGGGCCTTCGGCAGAGCACCATATCGGGCCACGAAACGTGTGAGAAGTGCGCCGAAATGGGGGTGGAACTGCATGCGGACCCTGCCACGGGGCCATTCGGAGGAGCACCTATGGTGGGCCACGAAAAACGTGGAGGGGTGCGCCACGACATGGGGACCCCCGGATGGAAAAAACAACTGCATTTGCGGCCCCTGCCACTGGGGCCTTGGGTGGAGCACCCTATGGGGCCACGAAACGTGTGAGGTGTGCGCCGAAGTGGAGGTGGAACTGCCTGCGGACCCTGCCACTGGGGCCTTGGGTGAAGCACCCCATGGGGCCACGAAGCGTGTGAGGGTGCGCCGACATGGGGGTGGAACTGCATGCGGACCCTGCCACTGGGGCC